TCAAAGAAGATTTGTGTGATTAAAATGCATAAGAGTGGGACTCGGTGAAGTCTAATCCAACATCAACATACCATTTTATTTCTAATCTAAATTGTCTTCCAAGTGTTTGACAAAATAACAAAAAGAACTTTATTTTTCTTTTGCATAGTTTTTATTTCTTTTACAAACCAACATCAATTAATGTTTTTCTAAGTTAGTTATTAGTTGTACTTATTGTCATGTATTACATAAGTCATTTGGAAGACAATGTTTACTCATTACTAGCTATTTGTGCAACCGATGCACTTGCCATAATTGTCTAACACCAAACTTAAGGCAATTGATGGGTTTAATAAGGAAGTTTACTTAATAACGTTTCTAAAATAATCCTTTATGCAACCAACCTAATCTCCACTAAGTTTATCAAAATCAACATAAATCTTGATCTTGTCAGCCTCTAGCTTGTCTAAGGCATGTTGAAGATCATAAAACTTATCTTCAAATTCCCTTATTTTACCTACATGATAGGCTTGCTCATCTACCTGCTTCACCAAGGCATCTTGGTCTACTTTAAGTAAACCAATTTGAAATTCCCAAACCAATTTTTGATCTTAATTTTAAGGTTTGTTAGGAAGCCTCTAGTTCGTCTTTCTCCCTTTATTGCTCCTTTGTTTGACCTAAACTTGTTCTAAGGCTTCATTCTTGGTTGCCTCCTTAGCCAGAACCAACATGGCGTCTCAATAACCCAAGGTCGAGGAAATTTTCATGTAAGCTTTCATTAGAGGAAAATTCTTAGTAAAAAAAAGGCTTTTGAAGCAAGAACTTTCTCAACCTCCTTGCCATCTTAGAGAATTGAAAGCTTATTAACTTCAATGTCATTGGAGGTCAATCTAAATGAAAAGTTGTTAATGGTCAATTACCGACCCCAAAAAAGAGGTCTCCTACCTTATAGCACTAGTATGATTGGTGAAGTAGTCTAAATTATGGGTTAGTAGAAGGAGTAAAATAAGTAGCACCTACACTATTACTTTCCTAATTTTAATGGGGAAGAGAAGAAGAAGACTCATGAATAACCATCCTTTTTAGGCAAACTAAAGGATGGATTCTTTGAAAGTTTGGGCAACACCCTTACCTTTTGTTGCAACAATAAGGGGAGGATTCAACGCAACAATCGACAGACCCTTCGAAATAGAAGCCAACTATCCATTTTGATGAGACGCCAAAGGAACTCATTTGCTTTGCAAACACAATAAAAATATCAAGCACAAGTCAAAAAACACACTTATTATTTTCCCCAACTCAAAGGGTTACATCATTACAATGAAGTAACTAGGAATATGACATATCTTGCCACTAAACCTAATTATCTTATTCACTTCCAAATCTCCATCATAAAGGTTTCTCTTTTCAAAAACATAATGCTTGGTGGGAAGGGTCATCACCATCCCATTCTCAAAAATTTGATATATAATGGTTCAACAACTAGTAGAGAGAAAAATTGGTCATAGTATACTCTCGACTATCCATATCCTTTTCTTTTGAAAAAACATGGTTGTAATTATTTTTGTTATATAAAGAAAAAAGAATTTGTCTTTGTAGTCTATATAAGAGTCACTATATGCTTCTAACCATGTTGAGTAGTTTACAAGGACAAAATGGTTGATTGGAAGCTCGAGCTTTAGAAATTCACACAACATTTCAAAGGCTACCACAAACCTCTATTCATTAGGGTACACTTGCAAGTGTTGCAAAGCTTTGGTTTCAAACTAGGTAAAGCAAAAATGAGTCTTGGGGTCTTTAAATATGGTGGAATTCACCAAAATGACCTCCTTACAATAAGCACTCGACCCCTCTTTAACGATAAGTAATCACTAGGATCTCCTAAACGAGTTATGGGAAGACGCTAGGCAATCCCATTAACATATACTTGGTCTAATGGCTTCAAAGAGGGCTTGAATCGTCCAAATAAATTTTTGACACATCACTAGATCAACAAAATTTCATTCCTTGTCACTTAAGTTACATATAGCCTTATAATCGACAAGTAACACCTCAGATGACAAGAAAGGGCCAACAATGATATCATTGACACTCAAAGAAGACAACAATTGATTCCTTTTCCTTGACAGAGAGAGAATAAGTTCGATGACCACCACAACCCTCTAGTTCATGAGATGAAAGAGGAATGACACAATTATTAAGCTAGTATATCGTTTGATATGAAAAAATATTTGACTATGCAAATCATGAACAAATATGATAAATTTGGGACACAAAGGAAAAGACAATTAAAAGAGAAGAAAAACAAATGGAGATAAGTTTTATCATCACTAAGTTCATAATTGGTTAAACATATTGCATTGCAAAGAAAAGAATCTACTTGAAATCGTGGAGATTGGGACAAGATAGGATATGAAAGGGGAAACTCTATACCTATTAATTTGACTACATATTATATTTAATAAATATAGTATTTAATAGTAATGGAAAATGAATTTTATTTATAATATATTTATTAAATTTAATTAATAAATGTAATATATAGATTTTAAGCAAAGTGACTTTGCAAATAAATCTATATATATATAAATATTACTAAATAAAATGTAATTTTATAAAACTTAATCTCAATTTCTTTCATACACACAATTATATATTAATAAAGTAAAAATAAATAAACAAAGTCTTGTGGCCAAATGGTTGTAGGGTTGCTTGCCCAGCCTTGTGGCCAAGTGGTACACACACAAATGTATATTAATACAGTAAAAATAAATAAACCAAGTCTCATGGTCAAGTGGTTTTAGAGTTGCTTGCTCAATTTCATGACCCAGTAGTTGTAAGACCATCTATTATGGGATATGAAAGGTGGACTTGATGTTTTCAAGATTCTTAACAAGGATAATTTTTATATTCTTTAGAATATTGCGTGGATTATGCCCATGAACATAAATAAAATTAAAAATAAATATAAAAATAAACTTTTTTGTTACCATGTTATAGGTGTGAAGTATGAATTAATTTTACTGATGATTAATTTTTATTAAAGAACTTGATCGATAATTTTTATTGTTTTCATCCACGAACCAATTATAAGTAGGAATCTTATTGATAAAAAATATAATTAAGATAAAAATTCTACTAAAGATAATTTATTCTTTAATAATGATTGATCATCAACAAAATTGATGAATATGTCATATATCTAATATGATATATATATAAAATATGTGCATGCAAAATGGACAATTATAACATCACTCAAAACCCAAAACTATTTTAAATTCTAGTTGATGGTAGGTAAATATTTTCTTAATATACTTTGAATTTGAGTTTAACTAGTAGTTTGGTTTATACAAGTGTGATATATATACAAGATTGATAAATGTTTATTTTAAGTAGTCATAACTTATGACAAATGAATACTTTTGAATATATATAATATTTATGATTAAATTTTAATAAATAAATATTTTTAAATATATAAATTATATTTTAGATACTAAGATTAATTTAATCATTAATAAATTTTAACAATATCAAAATTTAATACAAAACTAAAAAAAGATAAGATGTTAAAGAAAAAACTCAAAATTATTTTTATTGAAGAAAGAAACAAATATTACTTATATATATAAATATACATTAAGAGATTTTTTTAAATAGTTTTAAATATATTTTTAATCCATCAAATATAAGGTAAATTTGTTTTTAGTCCTTCAAATTTAAAATTAATCTTTAATTTTAGTCCATGTAATTTTTAAAAATATTGTTTAATTTTTCTTTCAAGTCATTAATAACATATCTAATAGTAATTGATTGACACAGTTATGTAATATCAATTAGATTTAATATAATTTTTCATTGATAGAAATCCTAGTAGGTGGATTTTGTTAAATATAACATTTGATATATTTACTAATTAATGATATTAGAACATAAGGATTAAAATATTTTTTTTAAAATTTGAAAGACTGAAAATAATTTTACCCTAAATTTAAGGGATTAAAATTATTTTTAAAAAAGAATTCATGACCATTAAATAATTAATATTTATTTCTCACATTTTCGTTTAATATAAAATGATTTTAGCATATGCTACATATATATACAAATGGTCAAAGTGAGTTTCTCATATAGTTTTTCAATTATAATAAATATATAGATATAGATACCATGTATAAATAGTTATTGAATAGAGTGTATATAGTATGTTTAAATCTACACTATTCTTGTTAGTTTTGAGTCTTTAACATATAATATTCAAATAATAAATTTCAAGCATAAAATTTCTTTAGCTAGTACTTTAAAAATTAAAACTTTGGCTATATAGTCATATATATTTTTGAATTATATCAAAACATTTGGTCCTTGTAATGAGTGTTTTCTTTTGCTTTCACCTTTCCACTCAAGGACAAAGAATTCCTTTTCAATCTCTGTTTTCTAATTATCGATATCTTGGTACATGGAATGCTTTGAAAATCTCCACCACTATACATTTTCTTTCCAATTAGTATTTTCCCAAATTCATTACACCCCACATATATATCACTTTTTAACAATTTCCTCTTTAGCTCCATCATGGTAACTTAGTTGAATAGGAAATAATATCAATGCATTAATGAAAAATCTAGCTGGATAACTAATTTTTATATATAAATAAATTGAACTAATCACTTTTAGTGGAACTTTCTTTTTCAACTATATTTTTTTCATTTACAATATTTAAATTCAAGATTTTACTAAAGGATTGAGGAACAACTTATTAATAAATAAGAGCTTTTATATATAATAAAGATAATTATTTTTTTTTCATTCAGAATATCAGTGAGTAATTAATTTATACTTTTCAGATCTAACATTAATTTCTAAGGGATGAAGGGGCCTATATTAAATGCCTTATAATTCACATATCATACATACACCAAAGGGAATAAAAAAAGAGAACTTCACCATTTTTTTTGCAGGCTGCTTTTCTTTTTGAGGCTAAGAAATTGGATCTTACAATGGAAGACTCTAGAGGTTTTAGTGGTGACGAGAAAATGCCATCCTACGAACTCACTTCCGATCAGCGAATTCAACTTATAGCGTACGTAGTTCCCTTGCTTGTTAATTTCTTATCAATATTTTCCTTTTGCGTGTACTGAGTTTTTTTATTTATTTATTTATTTATTTTATTATTTTAATTTTGCTTTTTGGTTTTAAGAACCCATCAATCTTGATTTCTGTGGGTCAAGTGTATGAAAATGCTAACTTAATTTGCATCATTTCACCAAGGAGTAGGTCTAAGTGAGATCACGGATACTCTTGGGGAATATAGTGAAAGCTATTTAAAATTAATCACGTGGACTTGAAATCAAGTTTTATGCAATTTTGTGTATAAAGAAAGAGAGTAACTCTCTCAACTTTAATTGTTTGTCTTCGGGAATTCTAGTGCAGGTTATTTAAAATTTGTACCATAACTTTAAAATTATAGTGCAGGATAATTATTTGGCTTTGCTTACAATTCGATTTAATATGATTTTTAGATACTTTTTGTCGGTTGATTACCACATTTTCTGATGATCCTTAATATATATGATGAACCATGCATAAGGTTTTGCTAATGTGAGTGATTTTAAGTTGATTAATTTACTCATTTTTAAGCGATATATATATATATATATATATATATATATATATTATTTTTTCTAGGAAAAAAATGAATTTGTAATTTGAAACACACTTTATTTCTTTACAAAAAACACACTTTATTTATGCTGTTTATGTAATTATGACAATTAATTTCTATGTCCTACTCTTTTTTTTTTTTTTTTCTTTTATCAGTGTTAATAATAATTTATTTATTTATTTGATCAATATGTCCTACTCTTTTAATATTGACTGATCAAGCAACTGTGTTGATTAGTGATGTAGAATGTAAGAACTCTTCTAGGATGAATTAAATTTTTATTTACCGTGGGAAAAAAAGATTTATTATTATTTTAAACACTTGTGTTAGAATTCTTTTCGATTTTGCGACATTAATTGATGATCTTTGAAGGATATACATCTCAAAATTCTCTTTTAATGCGTGTATATGTAGAAATTCTATTAATCCTTCTTATATGTCATTCCACCCTTCCTTATATACATATTATGATCATAATAAAAGAAATGAGCATTGCGTTGCAAGAGCTATTACAACACCTCGAACCTATCAATTTATACAGCCTAATAACTTTTCTTGGGGAAACAAACTACTGAAATATTATGTTGTTTATACATAATTTTGAGGTATATAACAAATTTATCTGAAGTTATACTCACGATCACATGACATATTGTCCTAATTATAATTTGAGTTTTATATGTGACCAAAGTATTACAAAGTTTAACATACAAAAAATATATAGATAAAAATATTTGAGTTTTACCTATAGTAATCATAAGTATATGTCATTTTAGTTACAGTGATGTCTTTTATTTTGTCCATTTCCCATTCTATGCTTTTGAGCTAGTGTGTATATGTTTTTTTTTTTCTTTTGTATTAATGTGATATTTTACTTGTAAATTAATTAATACACGGACAAAATTTTGGTTTTATTTTTTTTATAATTGAAATAAAGTTTATTAGAGAGCAACCCAAATCTAGATGAAACCCAAGGAGATCAAATAGCCAAGGAGCTTGGACTTGACCCAAAACAAATAGAGCATTGGTTTCAGAACAAGAAGACAAAGGTAATTAATGATGTATTTTTATTTTATTTTATTTTATACTTGACACAATGTGATAACGTTTTGCATATATATGATATCATAAGAATTTATTTGAGCGAGATATAACATTAAAATTTGGATTTAAGATATCTAAAGAATGAAACTTTCTTCATTATATAGACATTGGATTATTTTCATTTTCTTTTTTATTAGCAAAATTATTATTGAGAAAAAGAAAGCATAACAAATTTTGCAAACAACAAAGTTGCATTACGAACCACTCATCAAAAGACAGACAAAATGGTCGCCCATATACCATGACAGACTGAAAATAATATCAAACAAAAGACCCTCCTGTTACAATCGATACAAGATAAAATCAAATAACTCAAATACTCCTTGAAAACTCGTGAAGCCTGCAAAACTATAATATCAACTTGCTCCATTTAATTGCACAGTGTAGAGGATTAGACTCCAAGATAGACATTGGAAATTGTATCTAATTGACCAATCTTTTGGGTTTAGAAGAAGGGCATGGATGCAGTTATATTATTTACAACAATTTACTTAATTTTTAGGAAAGTGAATTGCAATTTTTTTTATAAAATTTCTTTCAACTCGTAAAAAATTATGGTTAAATTTATAAATAAACTTCCATTTAATAAAATAAAAATATAAAATAAGTGTTAAGTTAATTTTTTTATTTTAACCAAAAATATTTATTTATTCAAACAAATTCTTATTATGTGAAAATATTAAGCTTGTGGTTAACTAACTTGAATGGTTGATTTTCTATGTGTTTGATCAGCTTTGGGTTGATTTATGAATTATCTTCAACATGAGTACACTTCCAAGTTCCATTTCTTCTAAGGTGCATGGAAATATTGATGTCTTAATTATCCTCAATATATCACAGGCTCCTACCATAGAACAAACCGATGAGGAAACTCAACAGTACTATGTTAGTGATCATGATGAAGCTGGTTGGAAGGAAATAGAACATATAGCAAAGGTTGCAGATGCTTCTATGGCCGAACTCTTGAAGCTTATAAGAGTGAATGGACCTTTATGGACCAAGTCTTCACATGGTGAGGGATATGTTCTCGTTAGTGAAAAATATGCAAACATGTTTCCTAGGGTTGATAGCTTGAACCGTCCTCACACTCGTGAAGAATCTTCAAAACATTATACAACAGTGAGGATTAGAGCAAGGCAATTGGTTGAGATGCTTTTAGATTCGGTTAGTATATACTTACATACAATGCTTCTTAAACACTCTCCCCTCTTAGTTTCTTTTATATTTATTTAAGTAATTATATTGTGATTAATATACTAATGAGAGTATGAAACTCTTGTTAATTATAGGAGGAATGGGTTAATATTTTTCCAACGATTGTTTCACAAGCAGAAAAAGTCGTACTTGATCTCGGTTCATTGGATGATCGAAATGGAGCATTGCAAGTGGTATATATAATTTCATGCAAATATTTGATCAAGCTTAATAAAGGTCTTAGATTCCTTAATGACAAAAGATTAATTAATTCTTTCTTCAGGTGTATGAAAAAATGCACGGTATTTCACCTCTTGTGTCATCTCGGGAATTAGTCTTCCTTCGCTGTTGTCAAAAAATTGGAGAAGATGCATGGGCCATAGCTCATGTGTCAATTGATTCCTTCAGAGGGTGTTCCTATGATTTTCCTGCACGAAGGCTTCCATCTGGCTGCATGATTTATCAAATGACTAAAGAGTTTTGCATGGTATTTATAAAAAATAAAAATAAAAAATTAGCCATAACTAATTAACACAGCTTCATTTTCGTGGATGTATCATGCATACCAACCATTATAAATCAACAAGAGCCGTTAAAAAACATGAATAAGATGTCGCTAATGAGATCAAGATGGAAAACATGTTCTAGAGATGATTTTACGAGTTTCAATATTTTTTTTTAATATGTGCCAACTACATACTACAAGAAATATTACACGTAGTAATATGTAAAAAGTGTCATTATGAATATAATATGTATCAATATAAATTTATTTAATATATAACTATACGCAATTTTATAAAATATTAATTTTGATTGAGATTTAACAATATTATATTATATATTATAGTATATATTATATATATATATTTTTAATAATATATTAATATATATTATATTAATATTATAGATTAATTTTTAATAATAAGTATTGGTATATTATATGTCACTATATGATAATTTTTTTTTAGTGACAATAAACTTGTAAAAATATTTCATGTTTTGTTTTAGGTTACTTGGATTGAGCACGTGGAAGTGAATGATAGAATAACACAAAGGGGTCATATTCGTAATAATATTGCATATGGAGCAGAAAGGTGGCTTTGGGCACTTCATAGAATGTGTGAGAGGTTTGCATGCACTTCAATGGAAAGTATTCCCCTTCAAGCGACTCAAGAAGGTTACTACTTACTGTACATTTATTAATTTTTATTAACTTGTTTGGCCTATTCTTTGTTATGAGAAATTAGTTCCATGTCACTCAGTGGTGAATACATTCAATGCAATCAAGAAGTCCACGAAGTTTTCTGATCGAATGGTTCAGGGCTTTTGTCGAGTTTTGCATGAATCACGCCATGAGGGTTTTATACAAGAAAACAGTAATGCGATTAAGATCACTCTTCGCACGAACACAGCACCAGACATGCCTGAAGGCATAATTGCCACTGCTGTCACTTCGATAAGGCTACCTGTCCCTCCTCACCAAATTGTTAGCTTGCTCACGGAGGCAAGAAAACGTTCTAAGGTTCATAACCTAAATACTCCTTATTATTTTGGTTATTAGGATATGTACCTTAATTTTTTATTTTTTGAAAATAATTAAGTTTTAACCTTGAACTTATGTAATCATAAATATGGTTAATTGTTATTTCTCTTGTAGTGGGATGTTCTTAGCTGTGGACTTCCGGTGAACGAGCTTAGGCACTTCACAATTGGTGGAAGCCGTATCTCGATTTTAAAGGTATTTTACCATCTCTTTTATATATTTAGTTGAATCACGGATTTGCATATTTAGTTTGAAATGAAAAAATGGTTGCAATATGCGTCTTAGTATAAATAAATAAAAGATTAGAGGAAGCATTTTTTTATACATAAAAATGGTAGGAAAAAAAAATGATACTTTCATGATTATTTGACAAAGAGCTAATGACAATATTAAATGAAACATCTTTTGTATACTTAGATTTGGTGAACTTATTTGAACTTAAGTTATTTAATATTCATTGTCAAATACAATGATTTTAAAATCAGCTCAAACTGATTTATTGGACTCATTGAATTGATGACTAAGCTAATTCAAATATTTTATTCACTCGATTGTATCATTAAGTCGGTATTTTAGATTGATTTGAACCTACTATTTTAGATGCTTGAAAGTTTAGTAATCACTAAATTAATATGTTTAATTGATATACAAATAACTTAAATAATTTTTATAGTGTGCATAATTTAAAATGAAATATTTTATTATATATCAATTTATACTATAACATAATGACTCAATACCTTCATCAAGTTGCACTTATCCCTGATTTTATATTAAGATCAAATAGGTATCTTTATTGGATTTATAGTGCTTCAGATATGATGTTGAAGAAGTAATATACATATGTTAGTTTGACATGTTCCCAACACGTACGTGTTAATTTAAATTGATTTTCACTTTTCCTTAGCATTGTTGGTTCAAACTACTAGATTTAATTAAAATCATTATAAGGAAATATGTATATGCATGCACATTAGAATTTAAAAAAGATGATATATAAAGTGTGTTTGAATACACGTCTAATACGTGAATCCAATAATAAATTCATGTTCATAACATAAAAATTATAACTAGGAGCGTTGGATTTGACGTGAAAAATCATGTCCATTACCAAACACACTAAAAATGTAGCTTGAAATTACGTGATACGACAGACAACATGATATAAATTGTTTTAAAATGAATAGTAAACAAATATAAAGTTGCTCTATATTCAATATGCAATATCTAATAAAAATCCTAATATTTTAGTTTAGAATTTTATTTTCTTACATTATCAATTAATGTAAAAAGAATCTATATGCAATATCTAATAAAAGTTCTATGGAATTTTATTTTAGAGATCAACTTTCATGCAATGCAATTTTTTAATTTATAGAAATAACTCTAAATATAACCTTAGTGATTATTACAAAAGTTAACATTTTTTGTCAACATTCTTATCTTGAGTAACACTTTATGATGGGATGAATTTTTTTTTTTAAAAAAAAAAACTCTAGACTATTAAGGATATATATTTTAATTAAATTATTTTATTATTGTGTCAAATAAACTTAATGAAATTTGTTTCTATATTTACGATGAACAGATTTATAACCGAATAGAGAACGATGTGATGATATTTCAAGATAGTTATACAAATCCTTTGGGATCGTATGTGGTGTATGCCCCAATTTCTATGAAAAACGCGTGCTTGATTATGAATGGAGATGATCCAATGGTGCCAAAAGTTCTTCCTTCAGGATTTCTGATATCTAAAGACAATCGCACAATTGTTGAATCATCTAGTAGACAACATCCCAATAATAGATCAGGGGGCTCATTCTTAACTGTGGTTTACCAATTACTTCTTTGTAGCAATGAAGAATTAATTGGTGACATAAAAAGAGAAACTGTGGCTGGAATCGTCATCTCAATACTCCAAAAGATTAAGAACTCTTTCAATAATTCCAATTAGGCTTATTCTTTTGGTGAGGTGCTTTTCTATAAGACTCGGATATGATCAATGCTGTTGATTTGTTTTTTTAATTGGTAGTATTTTTGGGTTCGTTTCTTTGTTTTTATGCAAACTCATTTCAAAGAATATAAATTTACTTACAAAATAATGTGATTTTGAATTTACTTATCATTTGATGTTTAATTGATTTTGAATTTGTTTATGAAGTGTTCTTAGAATTTTTTTTCAAAAAAATAAATATTTTTCATTAGAATATTTATATCCATACTATATATAAGTTGTAACGACATTGCACTTATCATATCGTTTGATTAAATGTAGTATCCAACCAACACAGAATGGTTTATATACAATGTTTCTTCTCCTTCTATGTTTACATTTGTTTTCTGGTATGCTTAAAAGGTTCTTCTGTTAAGATCAAGCATAGTTTATAAATATTCCCGCCTTAACCCATCGTTGAGACGTCTTTTAAAGATTAAAACTGTGACTAATGAACGTTAACTGGATAATATCTTGGATTTAGGGTTTAGGGTTTAGGGTTTACTGACATTTTTATCCTCAAAACCTCTAATCCTCGTCCTTTCTGGTGTCGTCGAGCCTGGTGTTGTCCTTTGCTCGTCCTTCACGATTTCCCCTTTGTTTTCGCATATTACTCTCGGGTAAACGCCTTTTGTCCTCTGTTTATTTTTTGTTTTAACTTTGATATGGACTAGTTGTGATTTATATTGTATATCTATATGTTTTATTTATTTTTATGAATTTTTGGGATGTTCATATCACGTGAGATACTTGTTGTGTTCGGATGATGCATGTGAAGTGTTTGTAAAAATGCTTTAACCAATTTTTTTGCCTAGTTTTGGCATTTAGGGGGCCAAAACACGTGTAGTGTGGCTGACCATTTAGGCAGCCACGTCATTTAAGGATCCAAGTTTTTTTAATTTAGTTTAATTTATTGTTTAATTAGTTTCATTAGTTAATTTGTTGAGTTAGTTACCGTTGTTAGTTTAGTAAGCTTAGTGCTTAGTTTAGATGGTTATGATTTGTTTAGTTAGTTAATTTAGCGCTTAGTTTAGTTGGTTGTGATTTGTTTAATTAGTGATTAGTTAATTGGTTATGATGAAGTTAAATTAGTTAGTGTAGTCTATTATTAGACTAAGTTAATTTATTAGTTTAGTCTAATAGTCTTAGATAAGATAATTAGTTAGTGTAGTATACATTAAGCAAATTAGTTTAGTGTTTTAGTGATTACGCTGAGGTAGTTTAATGTATTGGTAATTTTTGTCTAATTATAGTTTTTTTTTTGTTCGTCCTTGGGGTATCTACCGGTAATTTTTGTCTAATTATAGCCTTTTTTTTTTTGTTCGTCCCTGGAGTATCTACCGTCGATAGCGGTGACTAATCTCCTCATTACGTTTGAGGCACCTCAAAGGGTGGGATAACTGGCCCCAAGATTTAACGCGGCTGCATACACAAGGCAGGATTCGAATCCCTGACCTTGCTTAAGCGTGGATCAACCCCTACTGCTGAACCACACGCTTGTCTAATTATAGCTAACTAGACTAAGTTAGTGTAGTTAATTAGTTAGTAAAGTGAATAATCTCCATATAAGTTAGTTTAGAATTTTAGTTATTTAGTTTAGTCTATTAAACTCTTTCTGGGCCTTAATATAATGCATAATTTAGAGAGAAAAAAACAATGATCCTTTTTATAAGACATACTTTACAATTTATAAGATATTAATTTTATTTTTTAATTTTTATTCTTATTAAAAAATATAAAAAATATGTGATTTTTATTGTTGGATAATGAGAAGAGAATTTGAGAAATAAATATTGTTTTCAACCTCTTAAATTGTTCAATTATCATTTATCAATTTTATTAGTATTGGTACATAAGCTTTGATACGAAGTAATATCTTCACTCCTCTCATAAAAAATTAATGATAAGTAAAAAAGGTAAAATTGATATATCATGATTTTGTTATATAAATTCAATAAAATTAACTAAAATAACTATCTGTATTAATTCATATAATTCAATTAAAAGTATTCTATAATAAGGATCATACATAATAGTAATTAAATTAAATTAAAGTTAGCTTATACTAACTTTAACTATTTTAATTAGGTATACCTTATAAACTTAGCCTATACGTAGTTTAATTAGGTGTACCTTATAAACTTAATCTATAGTAAGTTTAATTAAATTAAACTTGGATTATACTAAGTCTCACCTTAAATGGTATTCTTTAAAAAAGACTTGCTACATGGATAAAAAAAGTCACACATCACTTATACACGTCTCAAATCCAATAGTATGGAGTGTAAAAGGGTATATCGAAGAAAACTTGAATTCTACCTATTTTAGATCTATTAAAAAATGGTCACTCACCATATATTTATCCACAAACCAAATCCAACAATGTTGGACATGAAAGGTGCATTGTAAAACATCCAAGTTTCCTATTGAATAGAGATAATGTTAAAAAAAAGTATATAAGTTGGAGAAAAATCCCTATTTTACAATTCAATTTTGTAGGTTGAATTAGGTTATTAGGCTTGGTGTGTGGATAAATTATGAATGACCATTTTTAATAGATCTATGATATGTAGGACTTGGATTTTAAGGGAAACATGATTTGCGTTTTTTTAAATATATTCTCTCACGTCTAATACTATTAAACTTGGTGTATGGATAAATGGTAAATGACCATTTCTATCGGATATTAGATGAGTGAGATTTAAACTTTTCTCAATACACTTCTCAAAATCCAAGTCTTGCTTATCATAGATCAATTAAAAGGAATTACCTATCATTTATCAACACATCAAATCTAATGAGCTAACTTAACTCTATAAAATCAACTTGTAAGATGAGAATGTCTCCCCTCTCTAATTATATACTTTCTGTCCTTATCTTTAATCGATATTAGACGTGAATTTTTTTTTTCATTACATTCTATTACGGCTAACACTATTAAACTTTATATGTAGATAAATGGTGAGTTATCTCTGGGCAAGATTTCAGTTTTTCTCAATACACTCCTTACATCCAATAATATTGGATTTGATGCATGGATAATTAATGAGTAGTCATTTTTTAATGGATATAAAATAAGTAAAATTTATATTTTTCTTGATACATCTCTTCATGCTTGACATTATTAAATTTAGTATGTGTATAAATGATGAATAATCATTTTTGATAGAGCTAAGATACCTCTCACATTATTTTACAACAGAATTTGAATCTAATTCAATTCTATAAAATTAAGTTATGAAGTTAGAATTCTCTCCGTTTTTATACTTTATTTTAGCTTTATATCTAATCAAATCCGATATTTAAGTTTTTTCCGGTAGTATAGGTGTAAAATCTCGACTGTAAGACTAACAAAGTAATAAGTATTTTATAAAATTATATAATATATATTTTATAAAACCTTGATATATGACTGCAACATGAACTAAAAGATTAGACGTTGAAACACGTGATGTATTATATAGATAACTTTGAGCAGATTAAGAACTTACTATTAAGCAAAATGCTCAGTGAAATATTCGATTGGTGAACACAGATTATATCTTAGGCCACACAGAACAACCAAATCGATGTATTGTATTGACAACATTTTTCATCAATGTCATCATAAGTTGTACTGTGACATCACGTGGATCCTTATTTTCTATATCAGGTACATTTACATCTCAAAAGTTCTATTTACAAACTGTGGAAACCGAAAATTATACCATGTAGAAAATTTCTGTATGAATTGCAATCGTGCACATAATTATCCTACAGTAAAGTACTGATCTTCCTTCATTGTCAAATGGATTCAAATCCATGTAGCCAGTCATGTTTGTAATCCATCTCTCATGTGGATTCTACAGTGCAACGGGTTCCTTTGACTATTTTTAGCCCATTAAGTATGTCTGCAGGCAGAATACATATAATGGCAAAATAACTAAATAAGAATATTATTCCCCATAAAATCTGTCTCAAATGCAGCAAATTAGTTTGACAAAACGTAATTACATTCCTCAAATGTTGTTGGTACTTTTCTCTACTTAGAATTGAAGCTCACTTTGACAATCTATACTGACCTTTAATGCATACCTTTTATAACAAAAATTACCAAAGTATAATTTCAATCTCATTAGAGAATACTTAAAATTAAAAACTGCATTATGTTTTGTTCTTGGTTAAAAGGTGAAGGGATGTGAATAATTCACCTTACACGGTGCCTTCTTGTCGTAAAGGCTGAGCTTCTGCATGAACTACATTATTTTGCTGGTCCAGTGGCATGTATTGTGACATGATAGCCATGATCTCAGAGTCCATGTAAGACTTAAAAAATAAAATAACAAAGATAATTTAATATGGTGTTAATTTGGATCTCCAATTTAGCATAGAAGATTTATAACATTATTTGTCGTTGAGGATGAATTAGGCTTACCCGGAGCCTGTATTTGTAGAACACGTAACCAGCTAGACCAGCACCCACAACAACTGCGATGACCACAAAGGCAAGGAACCGTCCAAATCTTGATCCACTTCTTTCTGCATGATAAAAAGCAAAATTCTAATCATGAACAAACTGAATTGTCTTTAGAAAATTTTAGTTAGACAGGAAGAGTAGTTTAAAATATCTTAATGTCAATCTAGGATTTGAGCATTGGATCAAGAATTGACAATAGTAATAGATTAGAAACAAGATCCTTTAATTGATTTTCATTGAATATTAGCCATTGTGTTATTGAAATATTATAAAATTGTGTATGTTTAGCTGGCTATATTTACTTCATCACTTTAAATTCCATGGAATGCTATTCATCTGTTTCTCAAATAACAATTTCTAAGAGGTTGACTTTAATATCTTACCAATACAAACATCTTGTTCCTTTATATAAAGAAGATTTCCCTTGCATTTACAATCGTAACTGCCCCAAGTGTTCTTGCAGCTGCAGCCATCACACTGACAAGCACTTCGTTCCTTACATTCATCAATATCTGAATAAAATCAAAAGATTAGTCTTTAAATATATCTATATTTTTGCAAAATTGATCATGCAAAGAAAATAACAACGTTTTTAGTTGCCTAATATTACCTTCGCATTTATTACCATCCCCATGAAACCCAACCGGGCACTGACAGCCATTTACCTTGGAGTCCTTTATACAAAAGGGAATTCAGTTAGCCTTGAGGGATGCATGTCAAGGAAAGTCGGATAATTTGCAATAACCAGAAGAAGAAGAAGAAGAAAAAAAAGGTTAGGTTATGCAGTACTGAACTGAGCAAGCTGAGAAAGTCACTCCTTTTCTTGTTTCTGACCAACAACCACCATTGTTTATAGAACACCTCGCAGGTCCAAAAGCTGTCAAATAAGGAAAGGAATATAAAGCGCAGCAACATCATTAAAAGGAACATATCACTTCGAGTACTGAAGTAAAACAATTCAAGTGTCCCTTATAGTGGACCATGCAAAGGCTTTTTTAATAGCATGTTCGTTCTAAATATACTTATATACATTAATCTATCTATAGAAATTTGAAATGTCTAACTAATTTATTCCAGAGCCGCCATAGGTAATACTTACAAGGCTTTTCAAGGAGAAACAAGTGACTAGCTTGAATAACTCAATTCTAGCAATACTGAAATGGGGCTTTTATATCTTTCAAAAGTTTTGTGTATAAGTTATTTAATAGCATCCCAATACGGAATTGTCATTATTCACAAGAAATTAGTAGTATCCTCAGAATGAATAGATCTTTTGCTTACAACTTAATAACGGAAGTGCTTATAAAGTGAAAATTAGCAATTTCATATTTGTAACAAATAAATAGCAATTCTCATTTCCCTTACAATTTTTCCTGAGTAAATCGATCTAGATCACAAATAAGAATGTTTAGGGGGAAAGGCTCTACTAATCTCCATCCACATTTATCAGCAACCATGCACTTGTATTTGGATTTCGATTACAATATGAAATGAATTTTCTTAATCGTTTTGACAAAATAGTTGCAAATAGGATGACTTCCAAATCATAGAGGAAATGTTTTAGTCTCTGGCTCCCATAGCCATCATGTTTTATAAGAAAAAAAAAAATATTAATATTCTAAAGTAACAAGGGCAACTTCTTAAATTGGAAAATGCATACCTTCACATGTTGTATAACCGTCACCCTTATACTGAACACCGTTCACAATAGGGCACTCGCAAACTCTTCCCCTGAAAGTATCCTGACAAAGTACAAAGGCTTAATTGCAGCCAATCATAAGCAGACACACATAGACCACAAAATATGCCCAATAATTCTATCTTTGGTTGATAATAGAGATTCCTTATTTTATACCTTGCAAGCAGTTATATTAGCATTTTTGTCTTGCCAACATCCTCCATTTCTTTCAAGACACTCGTTAGTCTCAACATCTGAAAAATTCATATCAGGATGTAAAGTTTGTTACACAGTAGACTTTTGGAATTATAATAATCAATCATTAGTGAAATTCATATAATAAAATATCGAGCACACTGACCTCCGCTTAAACAAACTGAAGGTTCAGTAGTCTCCTTAAATCCAGAACATACAGCCTTCAGTACCGAAGTTCTCTCCAATTTTCCTTTAAACAAGATAAATAGAATCTTTAGAATTCTGATATATCAGATATGTTTTAGTAAAGTATAGTTGAAGTTGATGTGTAACATATATATCCACTAAATTACACCAATAAAAGATTTCATAATTCAATTAACCAATCAACTGAAATAGAAATAATAAAGTCAAAGTAATTTACAGACTAGAGATAAGAGAATGGAGTAAATCAGAGACAACTAAAGAAGGTCTAAACTTCACCAATCTGCCTCAAGTGAGAACGAAAACCCAGATTTTCAACATTATAAAGGATTAGCAAAAATCCAAAATTCATGAATAAGAATTAAGGTGAAGCCAGATAATCAAACTATAAACCTCTGTAAACCTTAACAATTTTTCAGACAATGAGACAAGTCTTCAAGTCCTTTAACATACGAACAGAAAAACTCTCCATTTACAGGTGGGGAATGTGATCAAGAGGGTTGGTTGATTATCTAGTTATAAGACAGTAGCAAACATAGTGGAAAAGTAAATTCATGAATCTTTTCAGTTGCCAGAAAGCCATAATATTTATAGAAGCAGAACATTTATTTTCTCGGCCCTTAAACTCTCAACTCAGCAAATATGATAGCTGGATTTTTGATAGGTAAAATTCAGTAATAGAATACACGTGTATCTCATATACATAGTTGAAGATCAGTGAAAGCGTGATGTGTTCAATGTACATGAATGTAAGTAGGTATTAAAGTAACTAACCTCTATACTGGACATTGTTTATAACCAATGTTGGCAAGATGGTGACATCACCGCGAGAACCTCTCCCAATCTGAATATCACAAATGAAACACAAGTATATAAATTGTTGAATTATATAATCATCTGGATTTGGTGCTTCATTTATATGGAAGCCTTTATTATTTTGATGGCTGTTTACAATTGTTTTATTTTTTCTATGTACACAGCAAAAAATGTTAAATATTTGACCTGGACTTGTTGCTCATTCTTTAGCACTTCATTCTCCGTATCCGCTTCAGGATCACCCATGCATTTCTTAATTTTCTCCAAAGGCAGATCTGTAGTGTTAAGATTAAACTTCAACAAAAGAAGATAAAACAACAGGACAACAGCATCAAAAAGTGTTATTTACCTAATGATTTCATGACCTCCTCAGCACAATCTTTGCTGTATCTTTTCTCCTTCATAGAGCATCTAACATGGAAATCTGTCACATAATCCCACCAGACCCATGAACGGTTGCTCTCATTGGCAACTCTATGGACACACAACTGCCTCAAATTTTCATACACCACATCCTTCCCTTCATAGCCCTCTCCAAAATCCTTCTCTGGATCCGGGGCACAGTATCTGCCACGGTTAATACATTGAGACTTGCACTGACTGCTAAGAATGAAGGGCGGTGGACAAAACCAAGTTATATAATGTGGAGTGAACAAGGTATAACCACCCCTCTCAAGAATCTGAGCATGACCCTTGAAATTCTTGACGAAATTCATCTGTTCATCGCAACGAGCTCCACATTCATCATTGCTGTTGGTCCAAAACTCATACTCAACCCTGTTATCAGGGTGAGGTACTGACTCTCTCCAGTCAATTCTTAGCAAAACTTCATCTTTGTTATTCAAAGCTTCCTTCAACGTATCACCAAAGGATTTCTCTATCAGAGCTGATGGAATCACAATCTTCTCTATGTAGCCATCTGCATCAGAACTCTCCTCGGGAGAATCCATGGTTATCAGAGACTCATCAATGCTGTCCGTCACCAAAACAGCCGCAGCACCAGCCTCTTGGGCATGCCAAACCTTCAAGGCAAAGTAACACTCTACAAGTGCAAATAACTTTCCCATTAAGCATCAAAAACTTGGATTTGAAGAATAATAATAGAAATGGATTCTTGAAGCTCCTATGAAAATGCTTCTAAGACTAGTCCTTCTGTTGCCTTTATGATTTATTAAAAGAAACATATTAGAATCCGTCTGGAATAGTTTAACCTTGTTTCCTTTACAATCATAAAAACAACTTGTACATCCATAAGTACTTAGGATCTATTCGGATAAACTTCTCATAAAGCACATCTAGGGGAGAAAAATAAGAAGAAAAAAATGAAATAAATTTCTTCAAAAGCTAATTTGTAGAAACTCTTTCTTATTAACTTCTTCAAATTTTTATTTTTTAACTTCTGCATATAAAAAATCTTCTTTCAATTTTTCATCCTAGTTTTTTCTCTTACAAGTATTTCCGAAAAAGTTTATCCAATCAATAAAAAAATTATTCAATAAGCACTTAATTAAGCTATTTAGCCAAAATGAAAAAGAAAACACAGCTAAATTACGAATCAACGAGGACCAACGGTCAAAAAAAGGAAAGAGCAAGACATTATATTAGTTCCTTTTTTTCCGGATTGTTATAGTACCCTAAATATTTCACTTTTAAAACGATAAGAAATTCAAGATGAAAAAAAAAAAAAAAACAATCCACAGATGCAACATATTCCATAACAGAATCAACGAACCAACGAACATAACTAATCCACAACACGTCAAAAGAAAAAAGAATAAAGCAAAGGTAACATTAAATTAACAGCGCGATGCAGCACGCAGGAGTCACGACGAATGAAGAAAGTCAACGAGCACGAAAACGAAGAAAAAGCATAATCGATAGTTGGATACATAGATATAGATAGATAGATAAATAGATACCTCCACGATCAAGGAGAAGAATAGTGGGACGATTAGAGCGAAACTTGAAGGGCTTATCGCCGTCGAAGGCGTGACAGGCGTGGGAGCCTTTGTCGGGATAAACGACAGAGCCAAGGATGAACCCTCCGTAGTCGGGAAGTCCGAAGTTGCCGATGGCGCCATCGCGTTTGGCCCTGAGCTTGTGCGGCGAGAGGACCGTGATGCTGCTCTTCTCCACCACGAAGCGCGCGTCCACGAGGACACTCAACAGAAACAGAGGGAGCAAGACGCAGCGTTTCATGGTTGGTGGCAGCGAAGAGGGAAAAGAGAGTAATAAGGAAGAGTTGCTTAGAAAGTGCGTGTGTTTATGGTGCGGAGGTTTGCGTTTCGCAATCAAAACGGTGACGTAAAGCCAACGTAAACGACAGGTGAAAGGAAGAGGAAGGTGGTGGACGGAGTCAGGGGAGCTACCTCTAGTCTTCTACATACACCGTTACTTCCTTTTTTCTTTTCTTCTTTTTATTATGCCAATTTTTTATTTTTTATTTTTTATTTTTTTATATATAAGGTACACGTGAAGTGTGTGTCTCAATCTTATGTTGTTTCAGAAAGTTAAATATGTTTTTAGTCCCCTAAATTTAAGATAAATTTGTATTTGGTGCCTCAAATTTAAAATTGTTGTTTTTAGTCCTTGTAATTTTCAAAAATATTGTTTTAGTCTCTTAGGTCACCAATAATATATTTGAAAATGACTAATTAAGACAGTTATGTAATATCAACTGAATTTAATGTGATATTTTCACTAATAGGTAGATTTTACGCAATAATATTTGATAAATTTCTTAATAAAATTTGAATATAAGGACTAAATTAAGATTTTTTGAAATTATAGGAACTAAAAATAATAATTTTAAATTTGAGAGATTAAAAATAAACTTACCCTAAATTTGAGGGACTAAAAACATATTTAAGCCTTTTAGAAAATTAACGACCTGTTAGTTTTGTATTCTGTGTTTGTGATATTTGTTAGAAACTAGTTATTACTTTCTATGTGTGTTTGTGAGAAATTAGTCATTATTTTTAGTATTAAATATTCATATTAATATCATGTTTATTGGAAAAAATAAAATTTGGACCAATGAGTGAAAATTGAAAACGTAGAATGATTAAGAGAAATGAATAATCGTATATATTTTAATTTTTCAAAGTTTAAGGTTAGAAAGGTATTTATCTTTCTTGAAAAATTAACTTTTTCTTATTAGAATACCTAACTACCCCCTCCCACAAACAATTGCTTAGGTTTTCTCGTAAAGTTTAATTCATGATGTTATAAACAAAGTAGCAGAAGTTCCTGTCGATGAATTTAATGATAAATTTACTAATCTATATATCTAGATTGATCTAATAAAGCAAAAGTCTTCGGATGTTAACATTTTGGTTTTCTTTTTTTTTAATTGACTTAGTCTACATGACATTGAAGTATCATGTATATTTCCAACTAGATGAAGACGCTAATGAAAATTCCCATTGTTTTTTTAATTATCTTTTCAATTCGGGGGAATCCTTTAACTAGCTAAGGAGGTATTTCAATTTATTGCCATAAATATTACGAAAAGGAAATATAATTTTTTGACTGAAAAACATGCGTGAACAAAAATTAAAGCAGCATACTTTTTTTATGTGGTTCATTTTTTTTTCTCATTCTATCGACATGTTTTCATATTGGTAATTAAAAAATAATTTATACGTGGAATTATATTTTAAAGTTGATAATTAAAAAATAATTTGTAAGAGACGTGATTTTTGTTGAACAAAACATAGTGTAATCTATTTCTATCCAATGTTTGATTTTTCTTATTTTGTAATTAAAGATTCTTATTTTATTAAAAATTAATTTAAAAACATTTAAAATATATATATAAAAAATTCATATTATCATGTAACAGATAATTATATAAGTTTATTAACTTCTATAATAATTATTTTTAAAATCATACTATTTCAGAATGAACCCTCTCAATTAAAATTTTTATTTAGATTTTCTTGAGGTAAAACTTTTACTAATCCGATTATCATTCATAGTCTTTTCATTATTTAAACTCTTTTTTTTTTTTAATTAAAAAGGGTCGAGATTTTATTGAACATAAATAATACATGAATCTACGGCTTATGATTTTTAATTTATGAAACAGTATAAAATATTTTACACTATCATATTGTTAAAAAATAAAAATAAAAAGTTAGAAAGTACAAATGGATTATAAACCTTTTTGAGTGGATACCCTTTCTTAGACTGAAGGAAGCTCCCTAGAAATTAGAAAATGAAGAAATTTTGTTGTCCATTATAAAATTGCAAGGAACATGACACCATTAGTATTGGTTAGGCCAAGTCAATGTAGAAAAATATAAAATAGAGGATGTTTTTCTTTGGTTTTTAGGGGTGTAGTTCCAAGTCAATGGAAGACCATAATGCTGAAAAGCCCACCTTATAAGGCACGTTAAGTGCTTCAAGGGCTAATCTAATGATATTATCCATCACCTAATGCTTACAATTTCAAAATTATTTATAACCAATAAGATTCAAATGACGTGAACTTTTAAGATTATGTAAAATATAAGAATATTAATTAAAAATATTTTAAAATATTAAAATTATAGTAAAAATGTATAACCAGATATGTTTAGTTTTTTCAATTACACAAAGTGTCAGAATTATTAAAAAAAAAATTAGATTCACATAGATAATAAAACAATTATATATGATTGAATTAAATATAATCTAAAAAATATAAATTGAAAATAAATTTTGTGATAAGATATTCGCACCTAATTTGAATTTTGCAAACAACAAAAGAATTATAAGTTGATTCTTTTCTATTATTCGTAAAATAAACTATAACTCAATATATAACTAGTGACGGATCTCACTAGCGTGGGGCAATTATCCCCACAAACTTTTAAATTCTATTAATATAATAACACTACGTACAATTATAAATGCTTCTTGTAATTTAAAATGCTGTATAGAAAAATTCAATTGCAATTAGGCATGACATCCGCGCGGGGCGAGGTGAGTTTTACGTTTCTTGTCTCTGTTCTCACAAATTTAAACTATTTTTGCTTCTGCCCTTGATACCTGCTGGAGGTAAAATTTGGATACTCATCCCCATTCTCAGCGGGGTTTGGGTTTTCACACCCTGCTCTTGCCCCCGCTTTTACTTTTTTTTTTTCTTTCTTTTTTTTTCTTTTAAATAAATATGAATAAATTTTAAAAAATAAAAGAAAAGTAAAATAATACAAATTTTTACATATAAATATTTCTAATTTAGGTTTATATATATATAAAAATAATTTTTAATTATATTATTAAGCGGGGCGAGGTGGGGGTGGAACGGGTACGAGGGCGGGGGCAGGGCGGGTATTAACATCTCATCCCTGCCCCCACTCCCAATTTTATCAATTGAGAAAAACTCGAACTCGATAAACACAAATTTTCCCCGTCTAAATTGGGGCGGGTTCAAGCGGGTACCAACGCGACGGGTTAGATTGTCATGCCTAATTGCAGTAAAAAGAATTTAATTTATAATGTGTACTGCGTCTACAAATTTATTCCTCAATCCTCACAATTAAATATTGTTAATATGAGGGGTTGTAATTATACCGGTATAACTTTAACTAAATATTATACCTCTCAATAATTTTATATTAAATGTGAATTTTGAAAATCCAACTGTTAGATTGAAAGTTCATATCACTTTATACGTGTATATCAAATTTTGTTAAAACTGAACAATAACTTGATGGTAATTAAAGTGTTCATATTTTAGTGTATTTTGAAATGAATATATTGCGTCAATTTTATTTTATAAAAATGAAGTATCAAATCATCTTAGATTAATATAAGATATGAACTTTCAATCTAACGGTTGGATTATAAAATTCACATTTAATATAAAGTTATTAAGCGGTATAACACTCAATAAAAGTTATACCGGTGTAATTATAACCCGTATGTTAATATTATGTAACCTATAAGAAACATCTCTCATCTATTTCGAACTAACTTTTTTTTATTTAATTTATTATTATATGCATACTTACAATTTTTTTAATTGTATATCTTCCTCAATCTATATTTTTTTATTTAGTCTTAAATTAAGTTTTAATATTTTTAAATTATCAATAATTAAAAATAATAATCTTATACTAAAACTAAATTATTCAGTAAAATTTATAATCTAATTTATATATATAGTGTAATTTATTTATAAATAAAAAATAAAAAATCTATCATTTACATTAC